ATGGCAGGGATACAATGGGGAAATGATAGGGATATGGCAGGGATACAGCAGGGATACAGGAAGGATACAGGAGGGATACAATAGGGATGTGGCAGGGATAGGATAGGGATACGATAGGGAAACAATGGAGATATGGCAAGGATGCAGCAGGGAAATGATAGGGATATGGCAGGGATACAGGAGGGAGGTGATGGGGAAGTGACAGGGATGTGGCAGGGATACAATAGAGAAACAATGGGGAAACTACAGGGATATGGCAGGGATACAGCAGGGATACAACAGGGATACGGCAGGGGTAGGATAATAAAACGACAGGGATATGGCAGGGATACAGGAGGGAATACAGGAGGGAGGTGATGGGGAAATGACAGGGATGTGGCAGGGATGTGAAGGGAAACGGCAGGGACACAATAGGAAAACAATGGGGAAACTATAGGGATATGGCAGGGATACAATGGGGAAATGATAGGGATATGGCAGGGATACAGGAGGGATACAGCAGGGATACAATAGGGATGTAGTAGGGATAGGATAGGGATATGATAGGGAAACAATGGAGATATGGCAAGGATGCAGCAGGGAAACGATAGGGATATGGCAGGGATACAGGAGGGATACAGCAGGGAATGTGGCAGGGATAGGATAGAGATATGACAGGGATATGATAGGGAAACAATGGAGATATGGCAAGGATACAGCAGGGAAATGATAAGGATACGGCAGGGATACAGGAGGGATGCAGCAGGGAGGTGATGGGAAACGGCAGGGATACAATAGGGAAACAATGGGGATGGGGCAGGGATACAACAGGGATGCAATAGGGATACAATGGGGAAACTACAGGGACATGGCAGGGATACAGCAGGGATACAACAGGGATATGGCAGGGGTAGGATAATAAAACGATAGGGATATGGCAGGGATACAATGGAGAAATGATAGGGATATGGCAGGGATACAATGGGGAAATGATAGGGATATGGCAGGGGTAGGATAATAAAGCGCCAGGGCCGTGGCAGGAGGCGGCAGGACGGCCCCACGTCAGCACTGACCGCTGTCGGAGAAATAGGAGCGGAGCAGCAGCTCCTGAGCCGGCTGGGGCAGCGCCAGGATGTTCAGCGCGGCGGCGTCAGACAGGGAGCCCCCAAATCCCTTCACCCGCTGGTGCCGCGTGGAGACGTCGAGGGTCAGCAGCAGATCTATGGGGCGGCACGGCTGGGTCAGGGCGTGGGGTGGGATGGGGCCCAGCAGCACCGACGGCCGGACCTGAAGGGTCTCTCACTGCCAACCCAACCCGTAACCAACCCATAACCAGCCCATAACCAGCCCATAACCAGCCCATAGCCAACCCACCCCATAGCCAACCCATAGCCACCCCATAGCCAACCCACCCCATAACCAACCCAACCCGTAACCAACCCATAACCAGCCCATAACCAACCCACCCCACTGCCAACCCAACCCATAACCAACCCGTAACCAACCCATAACCAACCCATAACCAGCCCATAACCAACCCACCCCACAGCCAACCCATAGCCAACCCACCCCATAGCCAACCCATAGCCACCCCATAGCCAACCCATAGCCAACCCACCCCATAACCAACCCAACGCATAACCAACCCGTAACCAACCCATAACCAACCCGTAACCAACCCATAACCAGCCCATAACCAGCCCACCCCATAGCCAACCCATAGCCACCCCATAGCCACCCCACCCCATAACCAACCCACCCCATAACCAACCCACCCCACAGCCAACCCATAGCCAACCCACCCCACAGCCAACCCATAACCATCCCACCCCACACCTGAAGGCTCCGCTCTGTGCTGGAAGCTCCCCTCGCTGCGCTGCAGCCGCTTCCCAGCTTTGCTGCTCTCGTATTTCACGAAGCCGCCCTCGCTCGGCAGCACCACCGGCTCCACCGCGTCGCAGTAGGCAGCGCTGCACTCGCACACCATGGCGTCGCGCCCGAAGAATTTGGGGCTGCAGGGCCGGCCGCCTGCGGGGACGCCGCCATCGTGGAGCTCGGGGGGCACCGCACTCCCCCACCCGACGCCCCGCGGCCGCTCCCGGGCCGAAACTCACCCCCCACTCACCCGCAGCGCCGTGCAGCGCCCGCAGCACCAGCACCCAACCCAGCACGGCCCACATGGCACCTCCGGGGGTCCCCACGTGCGTCCGGCGGCACTTCGGCTGGTTCCGGCGGCACTTCGGGCGATCCCGGC